CCCCACTTCCAACACTGCTGTATTGGGGGACAAGCTTTCAATGTGAGTTTTGGTAGGGATAAATTGTATTCAAATGATAACAAATTGTTGTAATTTTAAAAAAGAAAAATTTCCCTCTCTCTCTGCCTACCATTTTTCTTTTTTCCCTCTACCACATCCATCTTTCTCTCTCTGTCTCACAGGAAGTATATGCACCCCCCTGGAAAAGTAATCACTTTTAATAATTTGGCATATATCCTTCGATTTCCTCTTCTATACACTTACATATATTGTACATATATATGTATCTATATTTTGTAGATATTTATATCTATACACAGATATAGAAATTGTTTTGTAACTGAGTTTTAAGCAATGTTATATAATGAGGTACTATTTTGAGTTGTCCATAAACTGTGCTTTTCCCCCCCATTTAAATTTCTCTTCATGTTGATAAATATAAATTAATCTTCCTTTGGAATTGTTGCTTGTTTACTATTTGATTCTATGGACTCACCATAGTTTTATGTACTCAGCTATCATTTGATGGACATTTGGGTTTCCTTCCATTTTCTTACAAATAATCCTCACACAGCCCATTTTGGGCACAAGCAGAGTCCTTTTGCCATCAGGTACATTTAAAAATAACTGGCTAAAATGGTTTTTAGTTCTAACTTATAGAATACATTTGCATTTCACTCTTAAATTTATCAGTCTCTATGGTGCCTTGCTGAGTTTGATCCTTTGGATAGTCACATTTTGTTTCTAGTTAAAACCATTTCCTATCTTTGCAAGGAAATATGGCCAGATAATGTGATGCCTACCAAAAGGTGAAATGTGTATCTCAAAAATCAAGATACTCCCCACTTTTCAGATCCATTTACAGGTGTCAAAGTAAGAGTGGCAACCAAAAAAATTTGAAAAATCCCCAGAAATTCAGAGGTAAATTCTTTCGTCTATGTAGCTTGTCAACATTTTGTACCTTTATGAAATCTACCTTTTAAATAAATACCAGTACCCTTCAGTTTTACTGAAATTGAATGTAGAGTACATTTACTGCAAGAAGAAGGCAAGAAGAATGCCTTCTTCACAAGGTACTCATCACTAGTATTTATGGTTAGCATCCTGCACAGTCTGTACAGCTCACTCTTTATTTAATAAAACTACTTCTGTTTTGAGAATCATGATGCTCAGATCTGCTGAGTCAGATGTGATGTTACCTTTCAAATGCTTAAGCTCTGCCACAAGATCTGGGAATTTATTATCCAACACAAATCCGTCGGGAATTCCTCTGCTGTCAACTGACCACAAACCATAGTTTAGGTGGGTTCAAATACTGCCTGTTTAGTGACTTGCCACTCTGAGACAGCGCTCCTCAAAGTAGCCAATCTGTGAACTTTTTCTGACTGGTCCAAGAATGATAAACATTTGTTGCTGAATGTCAAGCAGCATAATGTTTCACTTACAGAAATAAAAAAAAAATGTTGACTGAATTAAATAGTGTGCTTCACGATGTAGTTGATCTGCATTCTGGTGCAAGTTCCTTAACTCTTATGCTGGTCTGTGAGCCACATTTTGGGTAGCGCTATTTAAGGTGTTTTATAAAGTTGGATGAATGGGTGAATGAATTAAACATGTCTAAGATGGATTACATAGCTTGTCAGAGTTGGGGTGGGAGGATGGAGAGGAGGATGGTAATTTTTTAATTTATTTTTTGTTATTGGGGATTAAACCTAGAGCCATTTTACTCCTGAGATACATCCTCAGCCCTTTTTATTTTTTGAGAAGTTGTTGAGGCTGACCTCGAAATTACAGTACTCCTGCCTCAGCCTCCCAAATTGCTGAGACTACAGGTGTGCACCAGCATACCTGGTAAGAGTGGTGATTAAATAAAAATTTCTTTTTAAATAGGACAACGTTCCTTGCCTGTTTTTGAACTGCCACAAGAAGGGAAGGGTATTTAAGGCACAAATAGCCTATCTGGTCCCTGTTGACTATACCACTATCATTTCCTGTTAAATGTGTTTTCTTCTCTTGCTTTTTGCCCTTCTTCCTGTTCTTATTCTTTTCCCCATGTTTCTGGGATAGGATTTAAGGAAGAAAGACAACAATACATGGAAGGCTCATTGTATGGTCTGTGTTTTATATGTGATGTTTCATATGTAATAATTTTTTTCTCCACAACTGAGTAACAAAGATATTATCATCTACTTTGTAAAATGGTCAGAGAATTTCAGTTATTTTATTAGATCCCATGAGTAATAAGTGGTGGCACACTTCTGTAATCCCATAGACTCAGAGACTGAGACAGGATGATTGGGAGTTCAAAGCCAGCCTCAGCAACTGGCAAGGTGCTAAGAAACTCAGTGAGACTCTGTCTCTAAAATACAAAAAATAGAGCTGGGGTTGTGGCTCAGTGGTTGAGTGCCTCTGAGTTCCCCAGTACCCCCCAGCAAAGAAAACAAAAGGAGACAGAAGTAAGATACAGAGGCAGCAATGGCTAAGTGGCAAAATGGCTGCTCATCTGAGTGTCTGACTTTATATCAATGGGTTACATTTGGTCACAATGTAAGATGTTTTGCTTATGATTAGACATGTACTCCGGCCAAGCATGCATTGGTTATCTCAAGAGTGCCTGGGAAAGACTGCAAAATATACCAAACGTGGGAAGCAGGTCCCACCTCCCCGAGTTTGCTCACTAAAGGAACGCTGCCTTGTACATTTCCATGGTCCGAACCTCTACATCCAGACTCCCCCACCCCCACCAAAAAAAAAAGAACAGACCTGCCTGGGATTTGAACTCAGGTCAACTCCCGGTATCTATTTTCACATCCAATGAAGGTGCTAACAGAATCCTGTTCTGAGACATGATTTAGTAGGTGTGCATGCTGACACACTCACGCTTCAGTGTGGAGTTTTGAGCTCTGCCAGTTTCATTCTCAATACCTTTAGTTGCCACAATATCTGAATGAGATATATCTGCGTGTCCCTGTGGGTTGCTGCAGAAGTCATCCATGAGCTGTGGGTGAACTGCGCAACATTCCAGCCACTGGGCCCAGAAGGCAGGTCTTGGGAACTCCCAGGCAGAATCCACCGGTTCCAGAATGTCCAGTCCACTTTGGCGCCCTGTTCTAGTTCACCACTCACGTTCCAGCACAGCCCCCGAGATGAGAGTGACCCATTAAGAGTCAAACAGCCTCCTTATCCTCACCCATATCCTGTTTTCCATGAAGAAGCAAGCCCTGAGACAGGACTCCTCCCACACTGAAAGCTTAACCCTACAGATCCCTTTTGATCTGTACTGCCCTAAATAAAGCAAGCCCAGGTGCCTTCTTTGTTAAAGCCGCACCCCTCTGGTTGACTTAATATGTCACTGCCTTCACTCTTTAAAATATGTTTCTGGTCTTTTGTGTTTATTTTGTGGTGCTAGTTTCATAGCTTTTATTTTGCAGCCAGCCCATCCATCAGATGGGTACCCATTCCCTTGCCCAGGCAGGACGTGAAAGAAAGGCTGTGAATGCCTTCATCTTATCCATCTCTGTATCCTTCATGATAGTGCATGGGGCTTTGAAACCAGTCAATGCCATAGATTATTACATGGAATATTTTAGTAGATAATTCTTCATGTGCCTGACAAGGTAAGTTTTAAAAATAAATGAACAAACACTTCAACATGTAATGGTATAAATCTATCGAGTATGGGTGTTGTCCATCAAAGCAGGGCACAGTGAAGACAAATGCAGAATTTAAGAAGTTATCCTCCTGAGATAATAATTCTTGGCATTCCTGGATTATGGCTTTTAGAACTCTTTTACCAGTCTGTATCCTCCTTGAGGACAGCAACTGGGTCTTTCTTTGTTGTTTCTCCAAATGTCTAGTACATTCTCTGGTAATGTAGTTCTTATACTTGAAGACTGAGAATTGAACTGTTGAATGTACTAGGTCCATAGTGTCTCCTCTTCATCTGCTGTTATTAATGTTCACCATCAATTTCCATGTGGCTCCTAGATTACAAATTGCCACTTCTGCTCCTGAGTTTCCTGGCTCTGATTCAACATTTTCTTCTTCCATGTCCATTTCCACCAACTCCTGTTGTGCATCAGGCACAATTCTATGATCAGAGGCACAGCTGGGGGAAGGTGAGTGATATGGGAGCAGGGGATGGACAGTTGTTTCTCCAGGACATTTGTTGGGGGCTGTGAATGAATTATGGGTTTGTTTGAGCCATCTCAAGGCAGGGACATTGCTCTTTTGAGAACTCTAGGTGAAATCCCACCAATTGGAATGGAGTTTGGATGGATTTGTGTCATACTGGAGGTACCTGGATGGATTTCAATGTTTGGAGGATTACATACACACACATTTCAGGGAGAAAAAGAGAGGAGGGTACTTTAAAGACAGTTTAGGATAAAAGACATTATGTAAGAATAGCCCAATAAAAATAGTGCCAGGGTGCCAGGACTACAGGAAGGCATTATTTTAGGTTTTTGGATAGTTTTGTAGATTGCAAAACTAAGCAGACTATGACAAGCAATTCCAGAAGGACACCTGTGTTGAGGTCTCCAAGCACCCCCAGGTTTGATGATTCCTGGGAAGGCTCACAGAATTTAGCATATAGTTGTATATATGGCTAGGATTGCAGGGGGTAAAAATACAAAAAACAAAATCAGCAAAGGGAAAACACATGGTGCAGTCTAGGGGAAATCAGATGTTAAGCTTCCAAGAGTCCCTTCTCAATGTTGTCACACAGTACACACTTAATTCTTATAGAATATGAAATATTCTTTTCACACACTTCCATGGTATACACCATGGAAGTGTGTGAAAGATTCAATGTCCAAGGTTTTCCTGGGGGCTGGTCATAGAGGCACACTTTGCATAACACATTCCAAAATTCCAGATTCCGGAAAGCAAGCGGATGTCAATTACAAACCACTTTGTTTTTTAGTTAAGATTGAGTGAGGCACTCTTATCAGTTAGGGAATGATGGGATTCCTCCCCAAATTCAAGTCCCTCCTCCCCAACCTTGCAATCCCATAGGCCTTCCTAAGACTAGTGTCTGGCCTTCTACTGTTAACACTTTTTTGCATACTATTCCCCTATTTCAGTTTTCTGTGGATTTGCTATGGGGCTACAAGATGCTGGAGTGGTAGCCTTCATCATATCTCCATTTGATTCACCACTCTGGCCTCTGCAAAATTTAGACTGATCCCTATAAAAGGATCAGAAACAGTTCATATTCACATGGAATGGACAACAGTATGCAGTCTTGCCCCAAGACGTTAATGCTATTGCTTGTTATTAAGAAACCTAGACCAGATACACATTCTAAAGAAAATTAGATTACCACAAGGATGGATTATGTTACTCCAATGAGATGAGCAAGAAGTGACTAATAAAATGGAGGCCTAGATAAAGCATCCATACTCTAGAGAGTGAAATAAAAATCTATAAAAATTTTAAGAGGCCTACATATCAGTAAAAATTTGGGGGAGGTATGTCCAGTGATCTGGTACACTCTGGGACATCTTCTCTAAAGTGAAGACAAATTACTATAATTTGTATGCCCAACTCTGAAGGAGGCACAAATGCCTGATAGATGTCTTTGGATTTTGAAGGTAGTCTATTTCACACCTAGGAATATTACTGCTTTTGCCTATATACTGGATGACATGAAAGTCTAAGTTTTGAGTGAGGTCTAAAACAGGGGGGGTTGTATGGCCAGTTCTTATTGTGGTCTGATCCAAGACTGTCACTTGGGTTATCCAACTGGGAATACCCATCTTAAGAGTTACTGATGGAGGGAAAGATGTGAAAAAAGTCACGACACATTACTACAGAAAATATTTTATTTTTCAAATAAATAATAGATTTTTCACTCAATTATTTCTATAAGAATTTTCTTTTTATTAATATGAAATATATATTTAGTACATTTCATTTTCTCAAAATGAAGACTATGGTGTAACCATAAGTCTATTTTCAGAAATTTCAGAAATAGCAACCAAAGTCTATTTTCAGAAATTTAACCTGATATGATAAAAAATACCACATCAAGTCCTTCACTCTGATTTGGTACTGAAGTTGAACTGGTGGTATTGGTGTGCTCTGGGATTTAGTGGCCACTAGAAGCTTTAAAAAGTAATGGGAACCCTTGGGGCAGCCTTGGTTGGATGGGGGATGATGTGGTTTCACAACATACAAGACAGTTCTTCCCAGAAGAACTGGACTAGAATCTGTGGGACAGAGAACTGAGGTACATACTGTTTACGTATTTGTTTTGAGTGGCAGGTGGTAAGGGCCCTGACTAAAAAGTAGGGAAAATGTCTTCCAGGCTTCCTTACTCTAAGTAGCCAGTAAAATGATGGACTTTGGAGATACTGTGTTTCGATTTTTACTTTTTGTCATTATCCACTCACTTGCTTTAATTCATATGTTTAGGAATAGGGTAAAGAAAAAGTCTCAATTTCTATCAAAGTATTTCCATAAAACCTACGATTTTACCCAAACATTTCATTAGAGTACTCATTAAATTAAAATAAATGAAGTAATGAAAGATTTTAGGTAGTAAAAAGAGGAAATCTAAGTGATTTCCTCTTAGCATTATGCTTATCTTTCAAATGTGGGTAAAATCTGATTTAGAGGAAAATTTTGGACTCCTATATAAAAATATAACATGCATTAAAACAGAAATTCTTAAATACAAAAAAACCTCAAGTGACCATATCCTTATTGATATTAATGTAACACAAATAAAATTACCATGAACAAATTAGCACAAAATGCAGTTAATTTCTTATTAACACAACAAACAACTGATACTCAAATGCTCACTATTATAGCATGAACTTAAGGCTCACTTATATGTGCCTCAAAGTACAGTGTGACTTTTGGCCAATATTTTTATCCTAATTCACTGTACTTACAGCTCTTAATTCCAGTTGTTTTAGTAAGAAATTAGGAAAGAAGATAAATTCCTGACACTTGGATCATTCAGAAAATAGCTAAGAGTTATTCTTTTGTGTATTTGGTAAGAAGCTATTCTAAAACTATTTTACATACCTGTTTTTGTTAATAAAAGCCTTTGAACAAAAAATCCACTCCTCTAGTTCCTATTTCCATTGGAAGACCCATTTATTATTTTTAATGATTTATTCTATATTTTAAAATTTCAGCAATAGTACTTTGTATTTTATAGAAGGTACTATTATAAGTATTCAGTTAATTCTGGCATTGAGATTTTGAAGATATACCTTTATGAAATAAGTCATGAAGCAAAATTTGAGAGCTGTTAAAGCAACTAACCATCTAAAGATCAAATTTATGACCCTTTTGTTTTGGTTTTCAAACTATTCTGGTTTACATCAAAGTATCTCTCACGAGGAGGAATGATAGGTATCGAAAAACAGATCTCATGAACGGTCTTCTTAAATTGGCTCTTAATAATTTTAAAATACAGCAAATCTTTACCAGGTGCTATTCTCAGGGTCAGTGGTATAGGCAGTAAAATGAGACTTATAAAAAGATCCAAGATGGATGTGTGTTATAAATGAATTCTGCTTTTTAGTAAAATACTTCTAAAATTTCAATGTACTTATCATAAAACCTATTCATGCTATTTGTCTGAAGCTAAAAATCTGATGCCACTGAATAAGTGTCTAATTCCTGTTATTTTATCTTAATATAGCTAATTTGATGTCATTTTCTTTTTCTGTAGAATTTTCTTCAGATTTTAACATCTTACAATACTGACTTGGCACTAGTTTAAGTTTGTAAAAACATAATTGTCAGAAGTCACACAAAAACATGTTAACTATAATATTTCTGCACATCTTCAAAAAAGTCTTTGGAAAACAACTATAATGCATAATGCTCCAGAGAATCCAAAGTACTGTCAATGATAGACATTGTTTAGTGATAGTACATGAGAACTGTTTTCTAAAAAGTTGTATCAAGGTCAATTTTAGGTAGAATATGAAATTATTTCATGAAATATAGTCTCATTCTATGCTCTCCTGACAACACTCCCAACAGAAAGCATTCAGTCTATTTGCTGTTTCTTGGCTGATCAGACATTCATCCTGTAATTCCCTGATTGTCTTCCTCAATGATTTTTGAAAATGTTTTTCTCGGTCTAAAACATTCCGTAGACTTTCCTTGGTATCCTCAAGCTCGCTGATCACATGATCTAATTTATGCTTAAGTTTCTTTGGACTGTCCATTACACTGTAGCTATGTTCCTAAAAACATAAACACCAAGTTATTAAGTCATACACACAAGTAGTAAGATAAAAGCTTATTACTAACGTGCTGGGCATGGTGGCACATGCCTGTAATCTCAGTGGCTTGGGAGGCTGAGGCAGGAGGACTGCAAGTTCAAAACCAGCCTCAGCAACTTAGTGAGGCACTTAGCAACTCAACAAGACCCTGTCTCTAAATAAAACATAAAAAAATGGCTGGGGATGTGGCTCAGTGGTTGAACACCCCTGCGTTCAATCATCAGTACCCTCCCACCCCCCCAAAAAAAAGCTTATTACTAGGCTTCAGTTGTTTCTTCATTTATGAAGTGTAGAGGTCTTTAAGTTGGTGATACTTGAAGGCTTAAAGAATACAGGAAGAGGATGGGGGTAGTAACAAAAATCAGAGTGCCTAGATTTCTTTTTTTCCTAAGGTTAGATATACATGAGTACAGAACATTTGGATGGGAAGCATTTCTTATCTGGGGGTTCATATCTGCTATGAACTTCATGACACTACAACTATATAGCTTTCATTCATTAAGTTTGGCAATGATAAGCTTAATTTTTATCTATCATATGCATTTAAATTGTTAAATTTTAACTGAGTTACTATTTTAAAATAATTTAATCCTCTTTATTTTTCTTAAAAAAATTTTTTTTAGTTATAGATGGACACAATATCTTATTTTTATGTGGTGCTGAGGATTGAATCAAGTGCCTCACACACGCTAGGCAGGTGCTCTACCACTGAGCTATCCCAGCCCTGAGTTACTTTTGATGAATTTTCACTTTATAAAAGATGAAAAGAGTACTGGAGCAGGTCCTAAAGTTGTGTGTTAGGTATTTAGAAAGGACTCTGGTCTTAGTATTTTAAAGAGATAATTTAACTCCTTTCAATATTTATTATGGTTATGCTTAAGTGTGCTGGGTATACATTTTTTTCCCATTTTCATTTGAAAATGGGAGAAAAACACATATTTTATACAGTTACTATAATTTTGAAAAGGTGATGTTTAATATTAAAATTAGTGAACAGTTCTTTGCTTCTAGCCGAGATGAAGTAAAAGAGTTGATTGATTCCTACCCCAAAACAACAATGCATAGCCAAAAGACTTGAAAGACAGTTCTGAAGATTAATTGATGTTGGGCAAGGAAGTTATCCTACTATCGTGGACAGAAGAAAAACAAAGAGGTGAGTCTCATGATTGCTCCAGCTTATTGCTTTTTGAGTTTGTAGGTCTCGGTATAAGGAGGGGAAACCCATGCAGAGATTGGCAGACAGAGTTGAGGAGAGAGTGTCAAATATCCAGGGATACCAAGGTGGTTAAAATTTAAGAAGAAAGTACTAGAAAGGAGAACGCTTCCCAGAGAGAAAACTCTGGAGATCTTCAGAGGCTTCACCATGAATACTGTGCTGAGTAAGATAAGTACATGCATGTGAGAACACTACTCAAGGGTGAGGAACGAACAATCAGAAAATATTACAGTGCAAGGAGCTCATAGGGTATGGATACTATTCACCAGCAGCCAGATGCGAAACTGTAAGATTTACGGAACACTGAGTAATGTACATGAAAGGATCTTGCCTCTGTAATGGATAATGAATAGTCCTAGACTAACACTGTTCTAATCCTGCCAAGAAAAAAAATCTGAAAGGACCAAACTGTTTCTAAATAACTGTATTCAAAAATAATGCTCAAGAAGAGAGAATACAAAAATATCTGGCATTCAGAAAATTAAAATCCACACCACGCAGCACACAAAATTTACCAAGTATATAAACAAGCAAAAAAAAAAAAAAATTAGCCACATTAATAGATAAACTGATTGATGAAAATCAACCTCAGAATTGATATAAATGTTAATTATTAGCACAGGAGGGAATTAAGGTTATTTTAAAAACTGTATTACATATATTAAAAAAGTAAAGATGTGAAAGATGTATAAAAGATTCAAATAGAACATCCTTGGTTAAAGGTTACAATGTATGGGGTGAAAAATACATTGGAGAAAGTGACAGATTAGATATTTCAGAAGAAAAGATTAGTGAATGTGAAGATCCAACAAAAGGAACTACTGAGAATGGATGAGAGAGAGAAAGAGGTAATAGTAAAAAAACAAAACAAAAAAGAACAGCTAGTAGTACAATTCCAGATAGCCCAATAAATAAATAAATAAATAAAAATATATACAAATAAATAAATATATAAATACATAAATATATAAAAACAAATATATATATATATATTTCCCCCAAAGGAGAAGGAAAGTTGGGATAAGAAGAAATATTTGTGGCCAAAATTTTTCCTATTTGATAGAAAATATGAGCTCAGATTAAAAATAAAAACAAAAACCCTTCAACAACTCAAGAAATAAGTACAAACCCAAGCGCAAGAAACAAACCAAGACAAAGCTAAACCAAGAAGAGCAAAAAGGCAAAAAGGAGGAAGAAAAAAAAAAAGGAAGGAAAAAATATAATAGGAGCTTTTTTTTTTTATTAGAAATAATGCATGTGAGGAGCTGGGGTTGGGGCTCAGTGGTACAGCACTTGCCTAGCATGTGTGTGGCACTGAATTTGATTCTCAGAACTGCATATAAATAATTAAAAAGTAAAGGTTCAGCAAAAACTTAAAAAAAATTAAAAAAGAAAAAATGCACATGAGGATACAATGCAATAACATTTTTAAAAGCTCTAAAAACAAAAAACCCCAAACTATCAACCCAGAATTAAATATATAGTGAAAGTAATTTTCAAGAATGAAGATTAAAAATGATGTTTTCAGACACAGAAATGCTGAGGTAATGTTACCAGCATACATGTATCATAAATAATGTTAAAATAAGTCCCTCAGGCAAAATGATACCAGATGGAAATATGGACTTATATAATGGATTGAAAAGCAGTGAAAATGGGAACTACATGAACATATAAGATTTTTTTCTTATTTTTTAAAAAATATCTTTAAAAAATATCTTATTGTTCAAACAAAAATAGTAACAATACAGTGCATAGTTTATAGCATAGGTAAAAACAACAACAGCAAAAGGACTGTGAGAGAACTGCAAGTATACTATAATAATATTCATATATATATGCATATACATATCCACACATATGTATATTTACATGTAAATGCACTATTACTTGAATGTAGCCTGTGATAAGGTAAAGATGTATTGTTACAAACCTACAAACAACTACTAAAATAAAACAAAGAATTACAGATTGTGAGTGAAAAAAGAAGATGAAATAAAACCATAAGAATTACTGAATTAATCCAAAAGAGGATAGAAAAGAAGAAAACGGGAGAAAAAAGGAATAGGAACAAATGGGAAATAAGAAAACGACAGATTTAATCTTTACTATATCAACCATCACATTTAGTAAAAATAGTCTAAATAACCCAAATAAAAAGGCAGAGAAGATCAGATTGGATTTTATAAAAAGAGCAAGATTCAAAAGTGTATCCTGCCTAAAAATATTGCACTTCAAAAATAACAAGAACAACAATAATAAGGCAAGCTACAGTGGGTATTAAATTATCTAGGTAAATTTCAGACCTGGTCTTCTACCAGATATAATGAAAGTCATTTCTTAAATATAAAGGGCTTATTTTATCAAAACATAGCAATCTTAAATGTTTATATACCTGATAACAGTACTGCAAAGTATAACATACAAAACCACTGACAACTTCTAAGGAAAATTACACAAATCCACAATTATCTGAGAAGATTTTAACATCCCTATCTCAAAAACAGATAAAACAGACAGAAATTCAGTAAGAATTAGGAAGATTTGAACAACACCATCCATCACCTTGACCTAATTGAAACTTATAGCACATTCCAGGTAACACCAGCAGAATGAGCATCCATTGCAAATGGACACAGAACATTTATCAAGCCAGACCATATTCTGGGCTATAAAATACATCTCAATAAGTTTAGAAATGTTCAACCTATACAATGTACATCTTCTGACCATAATAGAATTAAATTAGAAATTAATGATATCTGGTAAATTTCTCAATAATGAAAACTACATAATACATTTCTAAATAACCCATGGTTCAAATAACAAGTTAAAATATAATTTGAAAATGACAATGAAAAACAAAGAAATTTGTGGAACACCATAGCTTTGGAGTAATCAATACCACTAAAGCAATACTGCAGGAAATTATCATATGAAATACCTACGCTAGAAAGAAAAAAAGACTCAACAATGAACTTGGCTTCTACTTCAACTAGAAAGATGTGAATTTTACTAAAATAAGTACAAAAAAGGAAGTAACAGAGATGAATAGAAATCAGTGAGGAAGAAAGAAAATGAAAGCTAGTTCTTTGACAAGGTCAATGAAATTGTTACATCTCTAGGCAGACTGATCAATAACACAAAAGAACAGAAATAAATTACCAAAAGTGATCAGAAATGAGAGATATGACATCACTAAAGATTTTATAGGTATTAAAAGGAGTAATAAGTAAATGTTATGAATAACTGTGATGAATAGATAAATTCATTGGAAATCACAGCTACTAAAGAAGTTTTCTTTCCTTATAAAGAATAACCACTAGTCTAGACAGATTCAATGGAAGAGTATATCAAATATTTCCAGAAGAAATAGTATCACTGTACACAAAATTTTCCAGCAAATTGAAAAAGTTGGCAATATTTCCAACTCATTTTTTGAGGTATATTCTAATATTGAAACCAGACAAATATATTACAAGAAGAAGAAAAAAAAAAGACTACAGGTTATATCTCTCTCCTGTATGTACCAAAAAAAAAAAAAAAAAAAATTAAAAATTTAACATATTGAGTTGAACTTGAACAATATATAAAAGGGATAATGCATCACCACTTGGTTTATTCCATGAATAAAAGGTTGGTTTCACATTTGAAAACCATTTCTGATAAAACTGCTTAGCAAACTAGGAACGAAAGGGCACTGGACCCAATAAAAAGCATTTATAAAAAACATAGCTAGATCACATTTAACAGTGAAAGACTAATAAGTGCCTTCTTCCTAAAATCAAGAACAAGGCATTGAGATCAGGTCTTAATAATTATATCCATCATAGCCCAAGAGGTTCGAGGTGGTACAATAAAGCAAGAAAAAGAAATTAAAGGCATCCTAGAAAGGAAGAATTACAATGCTCTTTAATCACAGAAGATATGATGATCTGTGTTAATCTCTATAAAATCTGATAACTTTTACAAAAAACCTGTTATAATTAATGAGTTCAGCAAGTTTGCTAGATACAAGATCAATACAGGAAAATCAATTATATTTCCACATTCCAGCAGCAAAAAACAAAATGCCACTTATAACAGCATCCAAAAGAAATACTAAGGGATACATCTGACAAAGTGGAATACCTATGTACTGAAAAATATAATACAACTCTGAGAGACCTAAATAAATGGAGATATTCTGAGATCACGTGTTGAAAGACTATTATTATCAATTCTTCCCAAATGGATCTATAAAATCAACACAAAACTAGTAAAAATTCTAGCAGTTTTTTTTTTGTAGAAATTTACAAAGTAATTCTATAACTCACATAAAAATGCCTAAAAAGAATACATGATAGCTACAATAACTTTTGAAAAAGAATAAAGTGTAAAAACTAATACTGCCTGGTTTTAAGAATTACTATAAAGCTATATAGTAAGACAAATTTATATTCTAGATCTGACTGTAACATAAAAAGGCAACAAATAAATCAATGTAAGATTGAATCTTTATATGTGTATGGCTTCCCCCCCCCCCGCCCCCCCGCCAAGGAAATCTAATGACATAGCTATTTTTATTAGATATTTTCGTACAGAAAACATATATTTAAGAATTATTTTCTTGGTAGAAATATCCCTGTGAGAGCATTCTTTGAATTGGTTACATATTTATGTAACCAAAGGATTAACTACTTCTACATTGCTCTGTCTACATATAAATTACAATGGCCCTGGGAAGCAATATTATTTGGAGATATTACGTATTTAAAAAATACGGAAACACTTAAATCCCCAGTTTTTGCCAAGATTCTGAAAAAGTCTGATTTTAATGGATAGGACACGTTCATCTTGAAAGTATTAACATTAGTTCAGTAAGCAATTTTACTTACAAAAATGAACTGGGATTGGAATTCTTCAATACATGAGGAAGCACCAACAAGCTGGTGACTGTGGTTTGTGACTGGAAGGGTTTTGAGGGTGAAGTTTTTTCTACAATGAATCTTTTCTCTTTTCTCCTGTTAAGAATAGTTAGTAACAATCACTGAGACAGTCTATGTTTTCTCAATTTCTTATTTCTTAACTTTGTGTAGTGAAAAAAATACATTTATTTTCATGGAAAATTGCTTTTAGAAGTCAATAAATTCCACTCAGATTACTTTAAAAGGACTTCCTGAAAACAATGCGATAGTTCATCTTGAAACGAACTGTTGTAAAAAATGAAGAGTGATGAGAAGGAATGAGCTCTACCAGCCAATAAAAACACAATACACAGTGATAATAGCTAAAATAGTGTGCTTTCTTAGAACTAGACAGAAAAATCTAGAAGTAGATCAAGTTCATAAATGCCTTTAGGATGAAAGTGGCATTCTAAATAAGTACAAAAAGGTTATAAATCACATTGTAAAAATCAAGCAGTTAAGAAAAGCAAAAAGGGTGCTGAAATCACTTAGTTGGGAGAGTGTTAGACTGAAGAAAAGCAGTTATATCTTTTATATACAACAAACCACAATGAAATTCTATGTACTGAAAATTTATGTAAAAAGGAAAACCATGAGGAACTATAAAAATGTAGGGAATATGTTCTTCTTACTTGCATGGTTTGGTATCAGAAATTGTCACCTCTTACGTTGTTTGAAGGTTAAACAATATGGTGCCCCCCGCAAAATGTAGGGAATATTTATATCATCTTAAGATAGAGGCTAAAATCATAAAACACAAGAAATTATATTCAACTGACTATATAAAAAAGTTTGAATTGAAAAATCAAAACAAAATAAACACATGCCATAATCAGAACTAATGATAAACAAAGGTAGCTGCAACATAGATATCAGCTAAAGGATTAATATTCTCAATGTTTTCAAAGAATAGCTTAGAAAAAGATAAAGATACAAGGGGACCTGGATAAGTAACTCATATAAGAAATATAAATGTCTAATAAACACATGAAAAAAAATGTAGAAATCACCAACATTCAAAGATAAATTAAAACATTAAGATTTCATTTTTTTCCCTATCAAATTTTCACAAAGGTTAATAAAATAAGTTATACTAAGAATTGAGGGGGGTAGACACACTGGCATAGCCAGTAGGCTGGTGTAAGTTTTATAGTGAGTCTTTGTAGATATGTATCAAGAGCAAAGCTTTAAAAACCTACGTAATCCTGACTTAACTTCATTTCCAGGAATTTAGTTCAATAAAATAAGGATAAGAATAAAAATTTCACTTCAATAATATTCATTTCCCTGCTGTTACATGATAGCCTATATGCAATAGTGAGGCTTGATTATATAAACTATTGTGCCTATATGCAGGATTAACTGCTCTATGGTCATTAAATATGAGCTATAAAGCTGACACTACCAAATATTGGCAAGAGGAATCCAAGGAACTTTTATATGATGATACTGTAAATTTGTGAAACTACTTTGGAAAACTATGGCAATATCTATTTAAATTAAACATACACATCCCAGGATACAGCAAGTCTCATTTTTAACAGACGTATCTACACATGTATTCTATAAAAAATGTGTACATAAATCCACCAAAAGACCTGAACAAAAATGTTCACGGTTGCATTTACAATAGCATCAAAATGAAAAAAAGAATTCAAATGTTTACCAACAGAATGGAGAAATTTGTTTATTAATATAATGGAATACTATATAACAACAAAAATTAACGGACAAATATCACATGCAACATAGATGAATCACATAAAAGATTGAGCTCAAGAAGCCAGAGTACAACCTGTAGGTAGGACTCCATTTATATAACCAATAATGATAGAAGTCAGGATAGTAGTTACCTCTGAGAGGATAGTGATTCAGGAAGACCATAAGGGAAGCTTCTGTGTTGTATTTTGTCTGAGGGGAGCTTGATGAGTATATTTACTCTGTGAAAACTTGGTGATTTACACATTTAGAGTGTGTTCATTTTTCCATACACATACACATACACATACACATATGTAACTTAAATTAAAAAGAATGATATTCTACATAGATTTCTCTTAAAATGGGATCATAATCTGCAGTACAATCACGTGGGATGCTTGTTAAAAAGTACAGTTGCCTGGACTTCAACCCAAAGAAACTGAATTAAGTTCTCTGGGAGTGGGCCATAGGAGTCTGTATTTTAAAAAAATTCCTTGGATTACTCTTATGTAGACTAAAGTTTGAAAGCCATTGTTTGGGAAAGTATTTAATATCATGGAGAACAGTAGTTAAAGAATGAATTCCAGAACTCAAATGTATATTTTCAAATCTAGTCTCTGCTGTTTTATAGCTGTGTAACTCTACAGGAGGCATTCCAGCTCTCTGGGTCTTAGGTTCCTAAAGTGATAAAATGAGAATAACAACAGCACTTACCTCATGTGGCTGTTGAGGACTAACTGAGTTAATATATATGTAAAATGGTTAGAATGGTGCCCTGAAACAGCAAACACTATATAAATGTAAAAAACACAAAATAAAATAAGCAAATAAAGGACACTGAAATTCTATAACATTATCTAAATAAATATAGATGAGTTTATACAAAACATACATCCAAATGACTGGAAAGCTACACATCCAAATGTTTACATTATTATTTCTGAACTATCTGATTATTCTTTTTATTTAACCTTTTGCTTCTTTATGTAAATTCCTATTATGAAAAATCTATTATAAGAAATAATCTTTGAAAGTTAGCATCTTATGGCTTATTTATTATCTTACTTAATAGCTAGCTGACACTTTGCTGGTAGGAAAAATCTTTAAAGCAAATTGCATAAGATTTTGTACATTTACTAACATGGAAGAAAGTGAGGCAGTCTGTACTTAATCACTCAGGATGAATGTAACCAGCTTTAGAGAGTGACCAAGACTGCATGGGAGCAGGTGCATGTCTGGATAATATTTTTAGCTGTCAGGAAGGAAATACCTTTCATACTTCTTTGAGTTTTCCATATTTGAATCCATCAGTCAGTCCATACTTTTTGGAAGTAAGTACATTCTCAGGTATCTATGTAAAGAGAGATACTGAGGGGAGGAGGCAGCTAACCCATGGCACAATCACGGAGACAAAAATGTTCTTCTACTTTCTTTTCTTGACCTCTTTTCTCCTTTATTTCTCTGTTCTTATCCTTCTCTCCTGTTTTTTCTTTCTTTTGTCCTATCCAGGCTTTAAATTTCTGTGTAGTGGCTGCTCATGGAAGTATACTTTGGACCTGTAAGTAATTTAGCTCTTGATTTCTTGAGGACTGCTAATTTGGAATTTCTGTTCAACCTTCTTAAGTTAACCCCCTGCTTTTTAGACACAAAGAGTTATGCCAATTGCTAAAGTTAGTTCACTTTACCACATTATAGGAATGAACCAATATTTATGAGTGGCTACTGATAAAATATTCTTACCATATATCGTGAAAGCTAAAGCTGCTCTCTGTAAATTTAAAAACCCCCCAAAATGTGCTTCAAATGAATAAGCAAACAATAAAAACGTAGGCAAAGAGTGGTGCAAATTCTTCAAGGTACCATGGAAAGTGAGTACTGATGACAAGCAGCATCTTGTAAACAAACCTGTAAGTGATATGGGGAATCAAAGATAGAAGGGATGACTCCAGGTTTTAGTTTAATATTTGGAGCACTTCTGTCAAAATCTGTCTTCTTAAAGTGTCTTGAACATAATACATCTCCTTTTTTAGGCTCCCAAATGCCTGCAGCATTCACATCAAGTCTTTTCATTGCTAAAACCCATTTTCTTTTGACATTTTCATCTGTGGGGAATCTAGGAAAAAATACAAAAATATTTTAAAAACAAACACTATTGATATGTGCCCGAATTAAATCTGTCTTCTATGTATGTGGCTAAACTGATTCCTTAGGTTGTTATTACTCTTGAGAATTGCAATATTCAGGAAACTATGATTCGTGCTGCGTAACTTAAGTTTTAATATCCAGATTTTTCTGCCAACCATTCTGTAGCCAAATGGACTTCATTTTAATTTTTCTGAGATTATATGGAAGAAAAGTTCCAATGGATATTTAGCACCTTATAGTAAGATCTGCAACTGAAGAATTTTCTTCATCTATAGATGATAAGGAATATCACTTGGGTCTTTTCCTATCTGAAGTAATATCCAGAATTTATTTCCCATGAATAGGGCCCTTTTACATTCACTCTTCTGTCAGCATTAGAAAATTGCTTAGTATAGAATTTAATATAGAGCAGGTCCATAAATGCTTAGCGAATGCATCCAGAGAACAGCTAGCTGCAGGACTAAGTTCTGTAGATCAGAAATATTTTGAGAGAATTGGAGGCCAATAATTTTGTCTTTCCCAATTTTCTAAGCTGGTTGAAATCTTTTTGGAATAAAGCAGGGTATACATACTTATTTATTATTTCTATATACCTAACAAAGTAGCTAGCAGTTCTTTCTCTAGAAAAACAGTATGGTGCTTGGCACAAAAGCAGCAAAATAAACCTTTAGGAACTGAACAATTATTAAATTCTATATTTCTCTCCTATGGCTGTCAGAGGAATGGCTAAAATACTAAATATGGCTCATCTTGGTTTATTCTGGAATGCATTTAAGAACACTCACTCTGAACTCATATTTATATTTTACAACCTATGCCTGATCTATTTCTAAATAGAAAAGAATATATTTAAGCTAAGATTCTTCATTCAGATTGTAAACTACATGTAAACATCAAACTTCTTTAAAGAAAATACAATGTTAAACAGAATAATTACATTAGTAAAAATGAGTTTGATGATATTGAAGTCTCTGATACCTTGGTGGTTATCTTAAAACTTTTACACTAAATTACTTATAATTTACACTTTTAAGTGTACAGGTGTCAAATTTAACTAGAAGGTTATTTAAAAAGAACTTGGGGGCTGTGGCTGTGGCTCAGCCGTAGAGCACTTGCCTGGCATGTGTGAGGCACTGGATTCTCAGCACCAAGTATAAATAAATAAAGGTCTATCAACAACTAAAGAAATATTAAAAAAAAAAAGAAAAAGAAAAGAACTTGGGAACTAAAGTTCTAAACTGAAGCCTTAAGTAGAACAGTCTATTTTAATACAGTCAAAAGAACTTGGCTTAACTACAGCAGTCTTACACATGAAATGTCAGTCCTTTTAACTTGGAATTTGGCAAACAGCGAGAAGCACATCCAATGGCTGAGCAACATTTCACCATGATTTTAGCAACTCATAACAGAACTGAAAGAAAATTAAAATAGTAAGAGTTAGTAACTTTAAAGATAAAGGGGAACATATTTACCTTTCCCAATACATTCCAGGAAACAAGAAATCATATAAGAAAGCCAAAGGCAAGTATTTTTATCCAACACCTGCCTGCAACTTTGCTCATAAAATTTTCTAAGGGCTTGGCATTTTATTAATAGAACATATTTATCTGTATCCCCTGAGAGTATGATTTCATCTTTGTAGACATATACATTTTCCTTCTATCTCCTTACAGGCCCCAGAGTCTGTCTGCCCTAAGCCTTTGCTAACTCCTGGCATACTATCTGCTACTCATCTTTCAGCTCCTGTCTGCCTCACCAGGGAAATCTTCCCTGACACTTGGATTAAGGCAGATCCCCTCTAACATCAGATCTCTCAGAATACACACTTTTCCTTACATTACTTCTCCAAATAAAAAATCTTACATTACTGCAGGGATTTTCTGATTGTCTTTTAACCCCACTCGCTGTCAGTTCCATCAAGGAACAGCAGGCATGCCTATTGTTTTTCACTTTTTGTCCTCACGTCTTGGCTGATGACCTGCACATGATAAATGCTAATGCATATTTTGAAAGAATGAAACAGCAAGAAAACGGGACTGGAACGTGGGGCAGCAGCAGCTCTAGTTCATCAGCAGCGAGCTCTGGGCCCCGCCACGGGCCGAGCTCCGCCCCTTTCTCGAGGCGCTCCGCCGCCCGAGGGTGAGAGGGAGGGGCCATCAAGTCACAGGTGCCGATGCGGCCGGAGACCGTCCCTTCCTCAGGGGCCACCAGGCGTCTCTGCGCCGCTGCGGTCCTCCTCGCTCCGAACTACGCCCCGGGATCTGGGCGGGCGGCGATGCCAAGGGAAAAGAGCTAATCTAAGAGTTATTACCGTTAGCAGCGAAGACGACGACTAATGTAGAAGACGGAGATTGCGTCTCCCTTCGCTTCCGCCCCATAGCCCCGGGAACCGGAAATCCGGCTGCCCCTGGTCACGTGATCGACCGCCATATCTATTCTGGTGTCAGCTGCGGCTGGGAGGGGGATCCTAGCGACGCTTCTTCTCTGGGCGTGGTTTTCTACCCGGGGGAAGGGTCTGCGGAGTGTGAGGGGAGGTGGAGGAGATGGCGGCAACTGCGCAGGAAGATGGCGTCCGCAGCCAAGAGCGAGGGCAGCGGGGCTGCGAGCACTATGACAGAGGATGTCTCCTGAAGGTGACGACTTCAGTGGGCTTTTCTCCGACGAGCTTCCGCTGGGTCAGGCTGGGGAAGCGATGGGCAAAGCAGTTAGGCTTAAGATTTGTTTGAGGTTGAGCTGTTTGTCAGGATACCTGCGCCTTCATCTGGAACTAGGTTCCACTAGTAGAGAACGTTTTTGTCAGGGCGACCATAAGCCCCACTGTTCTTTTCTATTTTTGTACTTTGCAAGCAAAGCCATTATTGTTTGGCAAGCCCTTGGGCTTACACGAAATTACTTTACCAATGGGTTTGTGAGTCTTGCTGTTGGAAGTAGACTGAGGCAGCGTCAGGCCTGAACCAGGCTTGTCTCCAGAACCACCCTTCAAGTGTATGATGAAATGAGGATAAGCAAGTGGAGAATCGGAATACAATTTAAATTCCTGGAGTAAAAAAACTTTACAGCCTGCCAGCTTCATTTTAGAGTCAGTGCCTATGCCCAAACCTGTCAATGAGAAACAGTATGTGTGAGATGGAAGACAAATCATGTGGTTACCATTAAATTGGAAATTCGGTATAGAAAAGTGCCTAGAATGTATTGTTATTTTTGCTATTTACTTTGAGAAGACGTCTTAGTCAATCTAGAGCTTTTTAAATTGGCACCCATCCAACTAAAGTTTCATGATTTTTCTTGGAAGAAGCAGTATAAAGATTTTACCAAGAAAGCCTGAGCTTTTGGGCTGGTAGTGTAGCTTATTACTAGAGCATGTGCTTAGCATGCGTGAGGCCAAGGAGGCCCTGGGCTCAGCTCCCAGCAACCCCATCCTCCAAAAGAAAGCAAGCTTGAGTCCTGCAGCCTTATCCCCAAGTCTTATCTCTGCCCCTTAATATTTCTGTGATGTTTGAGCTAGTTAGCATGTAAAGTAGGGATCTTAGAAAAAGTATGAGTATTACCTATTAAAGTGTGTGTGTGTGTAGTGTATAGTAGGTGCCTTCCTGGAGTGAGTAGTACGTGTTAATTACCACCATCATGAATATCCACATCATTCTCACTTTACCAATCAACTCTGCTTATCACCGATCACAGTAATTAGAAGCAAGTGGCAATCTCAGGCTTGTGAGGACAGCCTAAACCCATGTAGGCTATACTTTGGTGATCATTGTTGTACTGCACTGGTTGAAGCTTTTTCAAAGTTGGTCATTCATCAGATGTGTAAGGAAATTGAATGCTATCCTTCTGATTACATTTTTATTAAGATGTTCTAGTCTTCTTTCATACTTGTTGTTTAAAACCTAATGTTTAATATCTTGCCCTGAACCTTTCCAAAGAAACAACATAACTGAATCACTAAAATTCTTGGCTCTGAGCAAGTGTCATGAACTTTGTTGTTTCTCCCCCTCCTCTTCCTTAAATAGCAGAGGCCAAATGAAGAGTTTCAAGGAGGAAATGATCAACTCGATTAAGTGGAGCTGTTTGAGTAAGATAAGAACTGAGAATTAATGTTTGAATTTGGCAAAGAGGTCAGCACTGGTGATCTTGCCAAGAGAATTGTAATGGAGAGATCAGGATAAAGCCTGACTGGAGTGGGTATAAGAGAGAATGGAAGTGAAACTGAAAATAACACAGACCATTCTTCAAATTTTTCTATATTGAAGAAAGCTGAGGGATCAGAGTTTTTTCCACTTCAAGATAGGAGATGATACAGCATGTTGTATATTCTTTAAAATAATTTAGTAGAGAACAATATAATCCAGGAGGAAGAGGGAAAACCATAAGTCTTTGAGTAGCCAAATTGCATAAGTGGAGAGGTTGACTTTAGATTGAAGAATGAATTGACTAAAGATTCTTTGTAAAGGAAGGGAAGGCTGAGGATGAAGTATATTAAGTTGGTTGATAAGAGTTCTGGAAGGATGTTTTCCTTTGATTACTTCTGTTTAATAGTGAAGGAACAAGGTCATCATCAGAGGGTTAAGAGGGAGGAAGAGGTGTTAGAGTTTTAAAGAGAGAGAAGATATGAAATGATCATCTAGATCCTAGATCTTTGACTCTAGAAGAATGAGGGGATTAACTAAGGAACTGGTAGTAAGATTCTACTTTTTGAGTGGTTTTGACTTAAAAGGGAGACCAGACAGTGTGGTGGTTGGTGGTTTTTCTCTAACCATGGTCAGCTGCTTCTGATATAGGTTGAGTAGGAAAGAGTTGAATTTAACTCGGGTTGATTTTGGCAGACATGTAGAGGAAGAGCGAGGAAAGAGCTAGGGAATACAAAAGGGGAGACTTGGAGTTACTTTGAAAGAGAAGGTAGTGGTTAGAGATTTTCATGCTTGAAATTGAATGTAAAGAAGATATAGTCCTTGTTCTGAAGCAGTGGTTTTCAGAGTGTAATGAATGGACGGAATGGACCACCTTGAGACTGTGAGGACAAAACTACTTTCTAAGGAACACTAGAATATTGTTCATTTCAGTGTGTTGACATTTGCACTTATGGTGGAAAGGCAGTGATTAAAATTGTTAGCACCTGTGCATCAATCAGACTGGTACTGAACTAATACTACACATTTTAAAAAAATGCCCTTTTGACAAAAAGGAAGGTTTTTATCAAGTGCTTTGGTTGTCTTGAGGAAGAAGCTCTTGTGCAATTGGATTGTGAAGTGAGCTAGTTGCTTTTTTCATGAAACAACTTTTTTGTTTTTAAACTTGGAAAAAAAAAACCTGATTATTTAGACTTTGGCATTTGGTAGACAGTCTCAAAAGAGTCAAGACTCAATACAAGAAAAACAATTGACAATATTTGTTGCCAGTGATAAAATTTAAGCTTTTTGCAAAAACTAGAATTTTAGAAAACTCTTATTAGCTTTTGTGAGCTTGAAAGCTTCCCAATACCTAAAGATTTTTAATGATTTTTTTTTGTGTGTTGTTGTTGTTGCAATATTGGGGATTGAACCTGGAGGCTCATACATCTTAGGCAAGCTCTGTACAACTGAGCCATATTGCCAGCATAAATGTAACTTTTTGATTGCATGTGAAATGTGAAATTTGGAAGATCTACATAACTAAGTGAACTGGTGTGTTCCAGATGACCAGTGCATGGGTAAAATATTAATTCCAAGTGCAAGATAGATAATGAATTTTAATGAAAAGAAGGAAAATTTTATTGGTATTATTTCAGATTCTATGTTACTGCCAACCTTTAAGAGCTATTAAGTTTTGGTGTAGTATCAGAATATCCACAGTTCTCTGAAAAGGCTATTAAAAAACTTTTCAACTTACATATTTGTATGAGACCAGAATTTCTTCATGTGCTTCAACTATAGCTGATTGAATGCAGAAACAGATATGTGAATCCAGCTATTTAGGGGGAAAGAATAGTTATTTTTCATTATAGCCTGTTATTTGTCTCACATGTAATGGACTTGTTACTTTTATTTTTTTCAAAAATAATATTTTAGTCGGGTGTGGTGGCTCATGCCTGTAATCCCAGTGGCTTGGGAGGCTGAAACAGAAGGATCTTGAGTTCAAAGCCAGCCTCAGCAAAAGTGAGGCACTAAGCAACTCAGTAAGACCCTCTCTCTAAATAAAATGTAAAATAGGGTTGGGGATGTGTGGCTCAGTGGTTGAGTGCCCTGAGTTCAATCCCTGGTACCAAAAAAAAAAAAAAAAAAAAAAATTTAAAGCCTGTCGATTGAATATATCAAAGACATAATCCTAACATGAAAAGCATGTTAGGATCCTTAATAATTTTTAAGAGGATAAAGGCATCCTGAGACCCTGTAGAACAATGTTCTGAGGTATAACTCTCTGTGAGGAGGGTTGGAGGACTAGGCCATTGAAAGTAAGGAAGGCAAAGAATTGAGAGTTCAGGCTATTGGAATGATTCTCTTTGCAAGGATGTAGATCACTAAGATTGAGGACAAGAACAGTGTTGGAAAAAAAAGGAAGTCAAGTATTAAAATCTTTAAAGAATGAATTATGTTGTGGTTATATCATGGCATAGGAAGTCTTCAGAAGTGAGAGGATCTGCAAGATTATAGTATAGTACCGGGTTAGCCTGTACTGGTTAGCCAGCAAGATTACATATAGTTTTGATCTGGAAATTTCTCTCTCTCTCTCTCTCTCTCTTTTAAAATATTTTTTAGTTGTCAACAGACCTTATTTTATTTATGTATATGTGGTGCTGAGAATCGAACTAGTGCCTCACACATGACAGGCAAGTGCAATATCACTGAGCCACAACTCCAGCCCCTGAAAATCTCTTTATATACTAGTTAGGGTGAAGTTAATGAAAAAACCCAACAATAATGTTTAAAGAATAAAAAAAGTTTGTTTATTTCTGCTTAGCAATTTCAAGATGAGTGGTCCCAATTAGTGATGAAGCTTTGTTGAATGTCACCATTCCATGTTTTAGGGTGTATTATGTCTGCGTGATCCAGCTGTAGTCTAGCTGGGTTTTCATGTGTCCCGGATGGAAAGAGTAGCTTTTTGTGGACAACTGGCAGTCTTTGCCACTCTTGAAAATAAGAGCTCTTTTATTTGTTGCATCTGCAGTATTAGGTAGATAGTTGATGATTAATGAATATTAGTGAAACAAAAGTATAATATTCTATGTGTAGGGGTTGAAGTATGTAAATGCATGTCCAAGATGGGTAGCCTGACTACTGTTTTTAGTAGATTGTCAATCTAGGTATTTTCATCCTTCTTAATTCTTGTGTTGTAAGAGTGTTTTTAACTTTATACAAACATACAGATATTGAAGGGAATCATTAAAATAAAATAGTCCAAGAAACAATGAAACCAAGCAACTGATCCATTGATTGTACTCTTTGACATTG